GAACGACTTCACGGGGCTTTTCTGCAGCTCAGTCAAAATAAGGTCTGAAAGTTTAAAAATTTTTTCATTCCCACAGTTTCATGTGTTGAATCGAAGCCCCAATAAAAACATAGGTTGTAAATTTTCAAGTAACCGCTTTTTCGCTGGCCTGGCAAATCCTCTCTCAAGAATTTCGTCGAACAAAATACCCAGGTCCAATAGACATGGTCGTAATACAACTGCCGTATACGGCTGATGTATATCGCCGTATACGGCAGTTGTATTACGACAGTTTACGACTGCCGTATACAGCGAATCTCCTGTGACATGTTTTTCTTGGAATTCCATCGCAAAATGTATTCTTATAAGTTTTCCGATATGAACTGGTGTTCGTTATGTGATCAAAATGGCACCAAATTGTTCTTTTGATCAAGTATAGTCGGTAATGGCAGCTGCATAACAGCTTATGTAGATATTATGTGTGCAAAATATAAGTTAAAGCCATCAATATATCTTTCTGCAGATATAAACACAGAAAAGAGGGACGGCATGTGATAAACTTCAACTCTAAACTGAGTTTTCATCTTAGAATAAAAAATATCAGCTAAACAATCTCAACTTGAAAGCCAAATCTATCTCTTATACATAGAAAGTCAATGCTTCATCCTATCGCAACACTACTTAGGAACCGTCTAGTCCGCCACGTTTAGCCATATACTGCTAAATCTCAACACAGAAATCTCCTAGCAACTACCACCTCACGTACAGTACTAAAACACTTTCTCGAATAACTTCTCTGCTTTATCTTTTAAAACAAAAGCAGCTAATCAAACTCAATAACAACGACATTTCCCGAAACCCTTAATTTACCATCCCAACATACCATCGCCTGTATCCCTTCACCAGCACAAAAAGTGCATAATAAATTATATGAGCCATGACTAACCGTGATTCTTCCGATATTTGATTTTCTTTACAACTAATATTCACTAAAGAACCTAAAGGAGTCATTGACAATCCAGAAACTTCCGATATTCGAGTTTCTTTAAAACCAAAACTCACTAAAGAAATTAAAAGTCACTAATCACCTTTAACCTGCACATATTTAATTTCATCTACGCCTCGAATGCACTAAAGAAATTATAGGAGTGATTGATAATCCTAAATCTTCACATATTTCATTTTCCTTACAACTAATTTCACTAAAGAAACTAATGAGGCCATTGACAATGCTCAATCGTCACCGACGCGATTTTCCCGTACAACTAAGATTCACTAAAGAAATTAAAGCAGTCGTTCATAATCAGCAATTTTCCGATATTTCATTTTCTCTAAAACTAAAATTCGCTAAAGAAATTACAGAAATCATTAAGAATGCTGAATCATCACATGAAAATGAGATGGTTTTAAAAATGGTTTTATTTATAGTAATGATGTGTCGTGGCAGTTTATTTGTGCTGTTAGGGAAAGTATAGAGATGCTTGCTTTTAAATTTGAAATAAACGAGGACGAAAAAGGAAAAAACCGTTATTTTTGTTATATCGTGTTTTCCTCGACTATGTTTCTTCTTATATACTCTTGCTAGTCGAGAGCAAAAGAAAGGAAAAATGCGTTGTCTATACATAAACACTCTATTTAGTCTATATATATTGGAATTGTTATTCTTATACACCGTACGTCTTGTGGAAAATATTTTACATAAATCAACTGCATTCATTCAGCAGACTGTAATACGAACAAGTACGTTGCTATTTCGAAAAGCTGATTTTTTCTATAATCACTTTTTCACAAAGGATTTAAATCTCTTTACTTGTTACGAAGCTTTCCATGTTCGTAGAAGTATTCCTCAATTAATTAAGCTGCAACTTCGGCTAAATATTATCTATCTAGCATATTGAAATATCCCAAGATTCAACAATCTAACTGACTCCTTTAATTTTTTTGGTGAAATTTAGTTGTAAAGAAAAAGAAATATTGCTAGATTCAGCAGTCTGACTAACTCCTTTAATTTCTTTAGTGAAATTTGATTGTAATTGACGAGGGCTGTCCGTCTAAAGCGGAAATTCTAAATTTGAGAATTCCTTCGCAGCATCACCGAGTCAATGTGCCCGGTATGAACCTTACAACTGCACAATTTCAAAATTTACGTATTTAGGAACTTACGGCTTTCGGAATTTTGGAATTTATAGAATTTACGAACTTTCGAATTTATGAATTTTCGAATATATGAACTTCTGAATTTATCGAATTTATGGAATTTACGAACTTTTGAGTTTATGAACTTCTGAATTTTGGAATTTATAGAATTTACGAACTTTCGAATGTGTGAACCAAAAAAACAATCACAAGAGAAGAAAATAAAGCACACAACTCCATATAAACGTAAAAAACAGACTGTGCCCAACGAAAATATAGAACTTCTTGTACACTAAACTTAAGAAGTTCTACTTTTTAAAAACTTTTTAAAACTTTCATACGCTAAAACACCGAACTTCCAAAATTCAGAAATTCTTATCTGCTAAACTTCAGAACTTTTAAAATGGCAACAAAATATTTGATCTGTAAAACAGATTAAATGATCAGTTTAAAGGTTGAATGATCAGTACTTAGATTATCAGTAAATAATAAGAGAATGACGAGTTTATTATATATAGTAGCAGTAAAAATATACAATTTATATCAATAAAAAAAAGAAACTTGATAAATAAAAAATGTAAATTTAACAAGTAAATAATATAGATTTTATCACTAGAAAAAAAATTATCCGTAAAATAAGGCGTGCGTAACTCGAAGTTTCCAAAAGGTTCTATTTTTATTCTATTCACACATGACTGTGTAGAGCGGAAGCCAAGGGTCATGAATATGTCCTTTTAACCTCTCTAGTCCATTTCTTTATGGAGAAAATTTCAAAATGTGAGGTGCTCTTTTTCTGAAAAATCACAACGTTTCCAAAAAAATGCAATATCTCAGGCCGCGAGAACTTTGGAAGGCCAACGAGGTGATATTCGAAATCAACGTGAAAAACTGAATACAGAACACTACCTTTCATGATTGGTATAAACTATTTTTATTAGATAAAGTATTTCACCATATCTGCACTAAATCGGAGAACCATTATATAGAGAAGGACAAGGTTTTCATATAGTTAAAAGAAAAATCCATCAAAGTGAGCGGTAAGACAACGAAACGAACAAAAGACAAAAAAAAAAATAAAAATAAATGAAACCTTTAAAAATAAACCTTTTATGATTCCAGCCCTGCACTGCGATTTTGGGCGAAATGTTTTATGATAGGGTCTCAAACTGCGACGGGGTCAACTTGCAAACCTGTTTCGTCGTTGGGGTTAAAAGATAGAGCCTGCGTTCTTATGCCATTGGAAGCGCCTTGACACAGAATAAAAGTACGTTCTCTGTTTTTCAAAATTTCTTTTCGTTGCTGAGAAAAGTGGACTCTGCTGCGAAAAATCAGAATTCTGACACAAATTCGTAATTTTATCCACAAGAACTTAACTTTCACGCAATAATAATATCATATTTCGAATCAGCGTCAAAAATTGAGTCGAATGATGTACTTCTTTATCCTGTTCGATCGCTTTAATGTTTTTTGAATTTTCACGTCGAAGAATTACTGAGATTTTCATGAAAAATGAAAATCATAGTAGAGATGAATCGAAGAAAAGAATACATATATCGTACTTGTCAGCTGTATGTCATAGTAGAGAAAAGAAACAAAGGAAACGAAGCAAAAGTGCATCACACTATAGCTCATTTTGATTTCTATAATTACTCTTGGATTTAACTGTTTTACATTTAACTATTTTATTTATTGATCTGAAAACTCATTAAAGACCCTGTTTATTTAATAACTGATCATTTAAACAGTTTACTGGTAATCATACTATATATAGAGCGATTTCATTTCACTTTTTCTGTTTTTTCTGATGATGATAAGTGTCTCTTATCGAAAGCTTGAATAAACCTTACACGAGGAAGTGTCATGAAATCTGGATTATTAAAATCCTGTTTTTAACTCATCCGAAAACTATTCATCCGGTATCCAACATGTCCGGATGAATCATTTGCCGGACATGTTGGAATCCGGATGATTTATTTCTGGATGAATTTCCTCGATCAACTCCAGTAGCTTCTTAAAAAACCTCTCAAGTCCGGGAGAAAAATTCTAGATGGGTTTGTCACTAATAATAAAAAGCAATGCAAGTCTGCATGTCATAAAGTATAATAGTAATACTAGTAGTTCCATTATTAAAGTACATTTGGAGTTGGTTTCATCCATAAGGCATGTTTTTAGGATCCCTGGTTTCAGAAGTTTTTATAGAACCTTTCTATACACCAGATCAGATCAAAAAGTTCTTTCAGCTGTTCAAATCTTTTTTCAAATTTGTTTTAGCTATTATGGTTGACGAGAAAAATGACAAATAAAGATGGACGAATAATTTTTCAACCCACTGTAGTTTCAAGTGGCGAAGGATTTAATACACAAAAGCCGCTGGCAAGCTTTGTTAAGTTTCCTATTAACACATCTTTTAGAACTTTCCAAAACGCATCGAATAGTATATGAATGATTAGAGATCCTCTTTAATTTCATAGAAAAAGGTGACAAAGAGTTCCCGTGGTATAGCCACGACTGATGAAAAAGTCTAGTATTAAATTTACAAAACATGCTGCCTCATTTCGTTAAGCTTCTTATTAACACATATTGTAGAGCTTTTCATGGCGCGTCGAATGATGTATTGCGCTAGGCTTAATATAGGATGGTTACTGAGAAATGTTGATTTTACAGTCATACTGTGGGTGCTAAATTATCGCTCCTTTTCGAGTGGATTCTGTCGGGTATATTCGACTGAAAGCGCTCGGAAGGGTCGAAATCATCGAATATCATAATTGGATGTGATTCTGATGAAGTTTGGATCGATTGGAGCGGTTATTGTTAGTTGGCCGATTTCCATTCTTATGCGGCGGACTTCACCTTTATCCGGAAATTTTACGGACTTTTAAATCCGGATGAAATTACATCCGGGTGGAGTTGCACGGGCGAGTTGGATTTCCGGATAAAAAGTCTTCCCAGACTTTAAAACATCCGAATTTTAAAAATCTGGATTTCATGACACTCCTCGCCTTACACTGATTTTTGTTAAAAATCTAGATGGTCTTTGTGGCAGTTTTATACCCAATAATATTTAAATTAATTTCTACTGCTTTACCGTCAAATTATTTATCATGTACTCGCTCCAAGTATGGCGACGCTATTTTTCTCACAATTAGAAAAGTTGAAAAGCTCTCTATTAAACTTCACAAGTGTAAATGTGATCTTGAATTTCTTCGCCTTTGCATGCATAATCTATCGTCTTACACCTACATTTGTTAGGATTAACCTCTGAAAGAAACGAATAAAATCTACTCATGAATATTATACCTTTAAACATTTTTGTCTCACACAAGAATATGATAATAGACATAAAGACAGTATCAAATTTAATAATGAAATTAATAAATTACTAGATCACTTAAGATCAAATATAACTCATTCTGATTTTGAGTTATTACAAAAGTATTTACCTGAGCGATCTAAACAAGAACAACAAAAATTCATTAGCATACATCAGAAGAAACTAGAGAAATTAAATCATGGACCAGTCGGTCAAAATTACGAATTACTCCGTTCAAAACTTGTTCATAATATTTCCTCATACAACCTTTCTCCGGCAGAAGAACGTTTACTATGAAGAGGATGGGATTTTTGTTTCGAAAACAAAATTACTAACTTTATCGACCTTAAAACTGATATGGAATTCAACGCGTTTAAAATTCAAAAGCAACTGAAGCAATTTAAATTTACCAAACAGCCACCACTAATTAGTAGAGAAAAATCCATGAATATGTATATTTTAAAATTATTGAATGATAATGTATTGATAAGGAAACTTATTATCGTATTCATTCCAGTTATTCCTCTTATGCTACTATGTATGGTCAACCCAAAATCCATAAACTAAATTATCCACTTCGCCCTATCATATCATCTATAGGGTCTCACAATCACGATCTGTCTCAATATCTTTACGAACTCATTAAAAATAATCGACCATCAAAATCTTTTTCTTATATCCACGACTCATTCGAATTTGTTAAGAAGATTACAGGAATCCAAAATAGCTCCGATCAAATTAGGGTTAATTTTGATGTCGATAATTTATACACAAATGTTCCTGTTCATGAAGCTATAGAGATTACTCTTGATATGTTATTTAAAAGGCCTACTCCACCTCCGAGACCTTTTACTCGTCCACAATTAAAACGATTATTAGAAATTGCTGTATGTGATATTCCATTCAGATTTCTTGATAAAATATATATACAAATCGACGGAGTAGCAATGGGATCACCTTTAGGACCAATATTAGCTGATTTATTTATGTCAAATATTGAGCAAAAATTAAATAAATTCTCAGCAAATAAACCATTAGTATGGATTAGATGTGTAGATGATATATTTTGCATTTTTAAAAAACAACAAAATATTAATGATTTCTTAATGAGAATTAATAAGTGGCACCCGAATGTAGAATTTACAATTGAACGAGAATGTAACGAAAAATTGGCCTTCCTAGACGTACTGATAAGTCGAGATAATATAAATAATAAATATAATACTACGATATATAGAAAACCTACCAATACTAATCTTTACTTACTATATGAAAGTAATCAATGCAGAGAATATAAAATAGGCTTAATTCGAACGTTGATTATTCGTATACTTCTAATTTGCTCAACAGAGGAATTAAAGAATGACGAACTTAAATTAATGAAGGAAACGCTGATGATGAATGGTTATCCACAACATTTAATTAAAAGAGGCGTACGTGAAGGAGAAATTATCACTAGAAGAATGATATCTAAACGACAACAAGTACAGGAATCAATGAAAAAGAAGGAAGTTTACTTTCTTCTCTGTTATTATGGTCAAGAATCAACCATATTAGCTCAAAGAATTAAACGGATATGTAAAAAACTTATACCTTCTTTACAAATTAATATATGCTTTAGAAAAACGTTCACAATCAAAAGTGTGTTTCTTCCCATCCAAAAAGGGCTAGATGAATCAAAAAAGAATAAGAAATTAGTAT